AAATATCAAATTAAAGGAGATATAATTAAAAGAAATTAGAATTTTAAGATGGTGAGATTATATATATATATACATACTACTTGATAAGATTACAAATTAAAATCTCCATGATAATAAAATTAATTAAGGTTATTGTATCTTACATCTGTAACGCCCGTGAACCAAAATGTGTATTTTTGGTGGTGCATCAATCGACACAGTGTGTGTGTCGATCGATACACGTGTTTGGACTCGCGAGGTCGGGTTCTGGGTGTTGCGTCGATCGACACAAGTGTTGCGCGTCGATCGACGCAAATTGAAATTGAACCGTCTGGTTCGGTTTTTGATCGCTCGGTTTAGGGAACCCTAGGGTTCTATTATATAAGCATGGGGATCGCATTTTGTGGCTCTTTTGGCCGAAAATCAGAAGAGTTAAAGATAATTTTGAGAGACGTGACTTTCTTGAGAGAAAAACAGTTCTGTCCGATTTTAGAATGGGAGACAAACGGCTGGGAATATCAGATCGGATTGGAGCAAAACTATTAGGGTAAGTTCTCCACTCTCGTATCTAGCTTTGGGAGAAATCGGTTTGTCATTTGGATTATTATTCCGAGAGTTATCGTCGTTTTACTAAGAGATGTTTGTGCAGTTTTGGGTCTGCGATCAGTCCATTTGGAGGGAGGATTCCCATTGAACAAGAAGGACCTAGGAGACGATCCATCTATCTATGGAAAGCTCTCTCTGTCTAGTTTTCAGAACAGTTTTCCGCTCCTGTTTCCAATGTAATCTCCATTCTCTGTGTTCTTTAGATATCAACGTGTTGTTCATATTTTCTGAGACTGGAATTTCTTATTTTCAGTTCCGAGCAACGAATTTGCGGGCTATTTTCCCATCGTTCTGTAAGGACCCAGAAGACGATCTAGGTATCATTGAAAATCCCCGAGTCTTAGCTTTCCAGCGCCATCGAGTTCGGTTTAATATGAAATTTGAAACGCGTGTTATAACCGTTTTTCATAAGGTGAGTGCATGACCATTGCTTATCTGGGTAAAAGAATGGATCTCAATGCATTT